TTTACTTTTTATCCTCTTTCTTTACCAAGCATATCCTGTATGGGAAGCACACTGCTGAATGGTACAAAGAGTGAGAGAGAAAGCCCAGTCTTTCTACGTTGTTTTAATCCTAACCGAGTAGATAATTCAAGGGACAAATATATAAAAGACTTAGGCAACTGACGAAGTCAGAGAATTCTGAACTGAGCTTGATTGGTTATGCAAATAGTCGTGAAAAAAAGCAATTCAGAAAATGAGTTCATAACCTAATTTGATGCCATTTTTAAAAGTCTTTCAGAGCCCCTGGGAAACAAATGGTTTTGAATTTAAGTAGAAGGGCCAATGGCTATCAGTTTAGCCAGGGCTCCTTCTGGTAGGAGCAGGTGCACTCTGAGCGACACATGGTTTTAAGTGTTTAATGTAATGGAAGCTGCATTTACTGATGTTCTTATTAGTGGTTTCTATGACAAGATGACCACATACAGAAAAGGGTGTGTGGGGAGGGTAAAGAGTATCTCTGAACCTAATCGCAGCCCCCAGGTCACCCACCTAAGGGCAGGGAAGCTGGGTCCACATTCCCCTCATTCCCTGAAGCCTGTGTGAGCTCAAGTCTGGCTTTTCTCAGCTTTTGCTCACAGCCAAGTTTTTCAGGTTGACATTTGATGGTTTTGTCAGTTTTGCTAACAGATGGCTCTCAGCATGGCTCACAAAAGCTGGATCTGTATTGTTCCGCATGCTAAAGGTTTCTTTCAGTGCACATTTACCGGAGAGCTGCCTCTCCCTCGCAGGTGTTTACAATTATACTTAGTATTTAAGGACGGACTCCATCCCTTTGTTTTATGGGCTTTCCCCACCGAAATCCTTGCTTGTACAACACTGAAAACCACAGAAGGAATTTTGACACTTTGGAGGTTGTTGGGCTTCCAGTTTCTAACAAAGATTGCTTCTTTTTCCACGAGTGTAAGAGCTTGGAGCCCTTGTTAGAAGGGTCCTCTCCCCTCAAGTAGATGTGAGGCCTCGTTTGAGAACTTTGGCACTGTCACATTTTTCCTGTAAGAACTTTAAGGATGTGAGGCCAGGGACACAGGAGGTTAAATTAGAAGGGCTGGAAGGCAAAATAAGAACAGCTGGAGTTCATTAGTTAAAATCCAGGGTCACTAGCTAAGAAGGCAATCAAAAGCCACGTGCAGAAAAACCGAACAAGTAATGCAGCCCTCTTTGAAAAGCCTTGAAACAGGAGTTGGGTTTCCTGAGCAGGCTCTTGGCTCTGCTGCCTGGCAGCCTGAGATTTATGGAGCAGGCCTCGCTGCATGTCCAGTCTCTGTGTAGGTAGAAGGCATGTGGCAACTTATTAGGTTATTTGGAGTGTTGTCTTTGTGTGCTTTTAGCATAACATTTTATGAAATTTGCAGAAGTGTGAGCGGTACAAAGGGAGAAATATCAGGTTCGCTTCAGACCTCTTACAGTCCTCTCAGCTTTGAGAGATAATATATTTGTAGTGTACCGTATAGCCATGGTTCCAGCCACATCTGATTGAGAACTCCATAACTTTCTTTCTTTTTTTTTTTTTTTTTGGCAGAACCGGGGATTGAACTCAGGCCCTTGCGCTTGCCAGGGAAGCACTTATTCCACTGAGCCATCTCCCCAGCCCTGATTCTTCAGTTTTTTTTATTTTTATATTTATTTATTGTGTGTGTGTGTGTGTGTGTGTGTGGCCAGCTCAGTCCACGAGGGGGCGGGGCTGGCTGGCATGTGGTGCTGGGGGATTGAACCGCGGTCCCTATGCTTTGTCAAGCTTGTTCCAAGTAGGTGCTTTAGACCACTGAGCCATCTCTCCAGCCCCTCCATAACTTTCTATACATTTGTTTTACAAATATTTTTTAGTCACTCACAAGGGCCATCACTTTGCTGACTACTAGATATGTGGCAATGTACACAGTAGATGTGTTCCTCATCCCTTCATGCTTTTGCTAATGGAAAAGACCAGAGGTTTCATAGCAATTTAGAAAACCCTTTATAATTGGCTTAGAATTATATTTCAAAGTGTTTATTTTCATATGTAGGAGAAAATACCTTAATTTGAACAGGCCAGTATTTTATGTTTTATGTAAGAATAGTATTTTTTAGTTTTATTAACTTCTGTCAGTATCTTAATATGCCTTATTTCAAATCTCTTTCTAAAAGTGGTTACCTTACCTTCTAGTTTAAACCAGGGACCTTTCACTATCTTAGTGGAATTTCCTTCGGAGGCAGTTATTTAATTTACTTTTTTTGAGACATAGACACATGATGTACTCTAGTCCATAGTCTTATTTTGCCCCTTGCACTAACTCTGGGAAGCAAAATGTATTGTTTTTGTTCTAGAGGTGAAGGAATTCTGAACTTAGAGAGGTTAGGTATCTTATTTGAGTTAGCAGACCTAGCAATTAGAGTTTTTTCTATTCTATCCTATCTCAAATTCTTTCTACTTTGTTATATAAATTTGGAAGTACATTTCTCCTTTACCAAGAATAAAAGTAAAAATAGAAGTCTTTTTTACAATGTGCCCTATACAAACATTAAAGAAAAAGCAGAAGAAACATTTTAAGGAAAATAATGTATAATATTGTATATTCAGCAATTTTGATGCTACGGCACCAGTAATTGCAGCATTTAAATTAGAAACAGTTTCATCTAAAAATATTTTAGATCAATTTGCTAGTAGAAAATTGTAATTACATTACAAAATAATTATTCCCAATCCACATATATTTAAAAACAGCCAAAAATAGTCGAAGGAACCTTGCTGAAGTTACAGAATAAGACAAAAGAGGAGACTGATTAGAGTCTCTTAAATTAACATGCTAGCATATGCCTGTAATGCCAGCACTGAGGAGGCTCAGGCAGGGGGATCATGACTTTAAGGCCACCCTGGGCTACATAGTGAGACTCTTTCTAAGAACAAAACAAACAAACCTCTGAGTCATCCATTACCACAAAGTATTAGAGCAGTCCTGGTTGACCAGTTTGTTATTGAATTCAGTCAAATCACATCATGGACATAGCTTATTCAAATGTGCAGAATTGCACCTTTATAAAACACAATAATGACAGGATGGGGATATTTCTTCACAACCAAGGCACAAAAAGACTAACATCAAGATATTACAGGGCCAGCCAGAGAGCTTAGCAGATTAAAGCACCTGCTTAGGCAGACGCAGAGACCAGGGGTTCAATCCCCAGCCTGCCATGCCAGTGAGACCCTGTAGCCCCTGTACTAAATACATAAAATAAAATAAAATGATATTATTGGGGCTGAGGAGATAGCTCAGTGGAATAAGTGCTTCCCTGGTAAACACAAGGGCCTGAGTTCAATCCCCGGTTTCACCGAAAAAAATAAAAAAATAAAATAAAGTGATATTATGACACAGTGCAGTTGCAAAGTGCTGTCTTTTTTTTAAACTTTACTAAATCCCCAATCCCAACAAAATGAACCAAACCAAGAAGCTAAACTAATTTTATTTCATGAAATGAAATTATTTTTCTAAATTATTCAATATTTTACTTCATAATATTATATATAAATTATTAGATATTGTATGAGCTGATAAATACATCATGAGTCATTTTTCCTCATCTGTGAGATTATGTTGTTTTCTTCATGTTTTCTCTT